AAACAACACCCCCACCAAGCATGAAAATCCATCCAATTTGCTTCTTGGATCCCCAAGAAACAACACCCCCACCAAGCATGAAAATCCATCCAATTATGGATTTATGATCCTCATGATCCATGATCCAACTAGCATCCATAAAGCCTTCTAGTACAGAAGGATAACCATTATAGCAAATGCCATAATACACAGTTTTCTTGAGATATTTCAAGACTCTATGTATTCCTTGCCAATGTAAAGAATTGGGATTACTTGTGTATCTACTAAGTTTCCCAACAGCATATGCTATATCTGGTCTTGTGCAAATCATTGCATACATCAAGCATCCAATCACTCTTGAATATTCTAATTGTGCAATTGGTTTTCCATCATTAGATGTTAACCTTACATTAGGATCAAAAGGTGTAGAAACAATTGCACAATCATAAAAGTTAAATTTCTTCAAGACTTTTTCTATATAATGGGACTAAGAAAGGATTAAATTATCACCATCTCTATGAATTTTTATTCCCAAAATCACATCAGCAGCACCCATATCTTTCATGGAAAAGTTTCTAGACAAGAACCTTTTGGTTTCTTCAACTTGTTCTATGTTGGTACCAAAGATGAGCATGTCATCTACATATAGGCATATAAGAACACCTTGCCCATTTTTAAACTTGCTATAAACACATTTATCTGCTTCATTTAATTTGAAGCCATTAGTAAGCACCACTTCATCAAATTTTTGATGCCATTGTTTAGGAGCTTGCTTAAGTACATACAAGGATTTTATAAGCTTGCAAACTTTCTTTTCTTGACCAGGCATCACAAACCCTTCTGATTGCTCCATGTATACTTCTTCATCTAATTCACCATTTAAAAATGTTGTTTTAACATCCATTTGGTGAATTACCAATTTGTAAATTGATGCCAAAGCAATTAATACTCTTATAGTGGCAATCCTTGCTACCAGAGCATAGGTATCAAAATAATCTATACCATGCTTTTGTGAATAGCCTTTTGCCACTAATCTTGCCTTGAATTTGTCTATTGTGCCATCCACTTTTAGTTTCTTTTTGAAAATCCATTTGCAACCTATAGGTTTGCAACCTGGTGGAAGATCCACTAAAATCCATGTGTTATTCCCCATTATGGAACTCATTTCCTCATCTATGGCTTCCTTCCAAAAAGCTAAATCTTGGGACTTAATTACTTCTTCAAATGTCACAGGATCAGCTTCTATATTATAACAAAATTTAGTTGCTTTTCTTGTCTTTTCTCTTGTTCCTTCAATAAGAAACATGCAAAATTCTGGACCATATGTTCTTGCTTTTCTAGCTCTTTTGCTTCTTCTAACTTCAATGTTTTCTTCCAACTTGTTTTCTTCCAAGTTGTCTTCTATTCTTTGTTCTGAACTTTCAGCAATTGCTTCTTTAGGTCTAGGAATTGAATTAAATCTGCTCTCTTCAAAGATAGCATCTTTTGATTCAATTATGGTATTGACATTAATTGAATCATTTGGTTTAATGACCATAAACCGGTATGCCTTACTATTTTTTGCATACCCCAAAAATATACATTCAATTCCTCTTTCACCTAATTTTTTCCTTTTGGGTTCATGTACTCTTACAATTGCTCTACAACCCCAAACTCTTAAATAGTTAAGGTTTGGTTTTCTTTTCTTCCAAAGTTCATATGGGATAACTTGGCCATTTTTAGTAGGCACCCTATTCAATATATGGCATGTTGTTAGCAATGCTTCACCCCTTAAACCTAGACTTAAACCAAAATTTGATAACATGGCATTCACCATTTCAGTTAAAACTTTATTCTTACATTCTGCCACACCATTTTGTTGTGGTGTGTATGGGGCTGTTACCTCATGGATAATTCCAGTGGATTCAAAGTAAGATGGATCATAATATTCCCCACCTCTATCAGTTCTTAGACATTTGATAAATGTCTCACTTTGCAATTCCACTTCTACTTTATAAACTTTGAATTTTTCCATTGCTTCATCTTTTGTATTTAACAAGTAAACATAACAGAATTTTGAATAATCACCAATAAAAGTAACATAATATTTCTTGCCACCAATAGTAGGAGTACTATGCATGTCACAAACATCACTATGCACAAGATCAAGCAATTTAGAAACTCTTTCAATCTTAGGAAAAGGTATTCGAGTAATCTTAGTAAGCATACATGTCTTGCATTGTGATTCATTTTTAGGCAAGGTAGGAATTAATTCTAATTTAGACATCTCATGCATCTTCTTGAAATTAACATGTCCTAATCTATGATGCCATAAATTAAATGAGTCAAGAATATAAGCAAAAACAACACCCTTATTATTAATATTATAATTAATGTTCATCTTGAACATGCCCTCACAAGCAAAACCTCTTCCTACAAAAATCCCACCCTTAGACATAATAAATTTATCTGCCTCAAATACAAGTTTAAAACCAAATTTGTTCAACAAACTTGCTGAAACTAGATTTTTTCTGATATTCGACACATAATGCACATCAGTGAGAGTGAGAACTTTTCCAGAAGTGAACTCAAGGTCCACGGTTCCTTTGCCTTTCACTTGTACTGCTACAAAATTTCCCACATACAACACATTTCCTTTAGGTTCTGGTTTTAAAGTCTTGAATAGACTTTTATCCTTGCAAACATACTTTGTAGCACCAAAATCTATCCACCAAGTAGTGTCATCTTACATGAGATTAATTTCATAAATCACAGCAATGAATTTTTCATGTAATAATGCTGGTGCATTCCTTTTCTTGAGAAAATAACACCCCTTTTTGAAGTGTCCAGTTTTTCCACAATGGAAACATGCACCCTTTTGGTTCTTAAATGGTTTAAGTACCATTTTGGTCCCTCAACTATCCACTTTGGTACCAAAATTGTCCTTCACCTTTAAAAAGTACCAAAATTATACTTGAACTTTCATTTTTGGTACCAAAATGGTCCTTCCATCAGTTAAACGCCAGATGACTCGTTAAAATGCCAGCAAAATCACCAACTTTTTTTATTTTTAATGATGTGTAAATCTAGCAAGGATATTTTTGACACCTTGTATTTTTACACGGCAGTTTGCTTCCCCACTTTTCAGATTCACTTTTTGTGGGGCTCAAAAAAAAAAAAAAAAAAAAAACAAATTGTTTTCTTTCCTTTCCTTTTACCTTTGCAAACCCAGGCTCTGGGTTTTCTCAAACCACCGAGAAAGTGATGATCGTCGCCGTCGATGACAGCGAGCACAGCGCCAACGCGCTGGAGTGGACGCTCGATACTTCTGCAAACCCAGGCTTTTGATTTTCCCAAACGGCGGAGAAGCAAGTGATGATCATCTCCGTCAATGATGGCGAGCACAGCTCGGGTGTGAGTGTGGAGTGGACGCTCGATCACTTCTTTGTTCCTCTAGGTGATAGTGCCTTGTTCAATCTCGTCATCATTCACACCAAACCTTTTGCTACTATTATTTTCAGCCTTCTTCTTCTCTCAAACCCAGATCTGGGTTTTTCCCAAACCCAGATCTGGGTTTTTCCTTTACCCAGATTGGCCCGAGAAGATGATAGGCTCGAGAAGAAAGGGGGGCAACACCGGGCTTTCGAGAAGGAGGGTCGCCGAGCTTCCAGAGGAGTTTCATTTTCTGGATTTCACTGCTGAAGGTATTATCTGAAACATAGGGGTTTTTGGAACGGTAGTGAAGGGGATGACAGGAGCCTGGTCCCGTGGGTGGGATCCCTCCCATCAAACCTGGATTTACCTTCTTAAAACTCCACCGTGAGTGTTCTTGTTATTTTGTTGATCTTGTTGATTTTTGTATATGGTTATTGAAAAATGAGTGAGAAACAAAGTCTATTTAGTTTATTTTCTGTCATCTTTCTGGTTGGATTTTGTGGATTTATGTTTGCGTTATGGTCTATTGAAATTTTTTTTGTAGAAATGTTGAACAGAACCCTAACTTCCATTTTGTTTCTCTCCAAATTCCTTTTCTGTTTGATATTTGATCCATTTTTGCAATGTTTTGGATGAATGGGTTCGTGTTTTTGGGTCAGGTCAACCCGACCTAATCCAGCATGTCTGTTAATTATAAATTCTGCTTGTTTCATACGATTGTTCTTTATTGTATGAGTGAAGTGCTTTACTCTTGCTAGGTTGCTGTCTGAGATAGAGAAGAGGGGTGGAATGATAGGTCTGCAGCAGATGATAGGTCCGAAGATGATAGGTCCGCAGATGTGCCTTGTTTAATATAATGGAATGATTTGTATTGCTTTTTTTATTATCATCAGCTTCATTAGATCGTTAATTTATGTGATGAAACCCAGATCTGGGTTTGAGAGAAAAACCCAAATTTGAGTTTGAGAAAGGAAGAAGAAGGGAGAAGAAAGAGAGAGAATAAGAAGAAGAATGAGCGAAAGTAATGCATTATTTTTTTTTCCTGGGTTTGAGAGAAAAACCCAAATCTGGGTTTGAGAGAAAAACCCAAATTTGAGTTTGAGAACGGAAGAAGAAGGGAGAAGAAAGAGAGAGAATAAGAAGAAGAATGAGCGAAAGTAATGCATTATTTTTTTTTCCTGGGTTTGAGAAAAACCCAAATCTGGGTTTAAGAAAGGAAGAAGAAGGAGAAAGGAAGAAGAGGAAGAAGAAATCTGACGTGGGTGAAAAAAAAAAAGAATTATTACTTTTAAATTAAATAAAAATGTCAACTCATAAAAAAATGATCAACTATATTTTTTTTTTCCATGTCATTTATTAAAAAAAAAAGAATTGATTTGCTGGCATCTTAACGAGCTACCTGGCGTGTAATACCCCAAAAATTTCAAGCATATTAAGTTGAGTTAGGGACTTAATGATGAAGAAACATTATTAATGGACCTAATTGTCAATTTTTCAAACTTCAAGGGGTTAAATTCTTATTGGATAAGGCCGGCTGACTCATTTCTTTTTTTTCTTTTTCTTCTTTCTTTCTTTCTTCCCCTAGCACTTTCGCGTGTCTGCTCTGATTTCTCTTCTCCTCTGCAGCCGGTCATCACCAGCCATAACCGAAGCCTCCACCTGCAAAAGTGGTAAGAGAACTTGATAATTTTTGTTCCTCTCTTGCTCAAGAACAAGTTTAGGACTTAGAAATCT